AAAAATAAAACAACGGCATATCGCTGGTGCAGAGACTCCCCCTCGCTTCCCGCGCCTGACACCGATGCTCCCCGACAAGCAATGCGCAGAACAAACCACCGAGAGAAACCCCCGGCCATCGCCGCTCGCTTTTTTCGACTCAATTCGCCTCCCCGCCCCGAGCCCTCTCCCCGTGGAGCCCACGCCAGCTCCGGCTGAAGGTACGGGCAGGCGAATGGCATTACATATTGTGGGTCGGTTATGAGAGTGCTGTGCCCGACCGTGCGCGTAGGTACAAAGCGCTTCATCGGAGATTACCTTGTCCGCTGAGGTTGGGATTGGTGTAGTCCCAAGTATCCTGGTCGTTCTTAAAAACGTTGAGGCGCGTGGGCTGCGACAAACAGCCGGGAGAAGCGTCAGGCGTCAGCGGCGTCACCCCGCGAAGGGGTGCGTGCCGCCCGGCAGGGACGCTTACCTTGGCGTATTCGATTTTCAGCGTGCAGCACCCGGAGTAAATGTCGGCCCCGTTGAGGGATGCCTTGGCTCGCTGGGCGCTCTGCACCGAGTCAAACGTTGGCGGCGTTAAGGACGTTTACGGAAAAGAAAGAGTCTTTAGGGTGGGTTTCATCGCCTGGGAGAACGGATCCGACCATGCCGGGCGTCAGGCATCGCTCTCCAAGCGGAACAAACGGACCCAGATAATTTGGGACACCCTCAACTCCCTCCCCACAGCCGGCCAGGACACGCCAGAGCACAGCCAAGGCAGAACCAAACCAACCCGCAGCAGAAAAAACACAAGAGAGGCAGTCCGGGCGCTCGGGGCACGGAAGGATATTCCACCATGGCCTGGACACCGTTTTTCCTGAAGATAACGATCCTCTGCACAGGGCCGCAGGGGTTGCAGATGGTGTACAGCACGTCCTGCGGGACCGGAGAGGCGAGAAGTAGTGAGGGACCTGACCGAGGCACAGCGGCAGCCCCCCCCGCCAAAAGCAGCGGACGCCAGGGCCGGGAGAAATCCACGTCCCCAGCTCCGCGTTCCCAAAAACCCTCGGGTTCCCCCGGCGCGTCACCCACCGTCGTGATGGAGTAGATGGGGTTGAGGATGGTGAAAAGCAGGACGTTGTTGACGCCCCTGGAATCATCCGTGTCCCCGGGGCGGGATATTTTCTGGCTGGTGGAGTAGTTGACAAAAGCAGGGTGACCAGCAATGTAAATCTGGTTATCGGCCGCGTAATTAACAGCGTTGCAGGCGCCGAGGATGTCCTCGAACTCCACCAAGGCTTGTCTCTTCTTGGGCATCACCACCACATAGCTGGGACAGCGAAAGCCGCGGTCAGACCCACACCGTAAACCGCGGTCAGACCGACACGGCGGCGGTGCCCACCGCGCCCGTCCCCCAACGCGTTTCCTCACCTGATGGGGCCAAACTCCTGCAGGGCCTCCACGAGATCGGCCTCCACGACGCCGTCGATCAGCCCCCGGATATGCACCACGGGGGAGGCGGGCGTCTTGTGGGGGTCATCGTAGTTTTCCTGGCGGGAGAGAAGGGGTCGGCTCAGTACGGCGCCCGCCCAGACCTCTTTATTCCCCCCAAAATGATACAAATCTAGGGGGACTACAAAGAAAAACCACCCCGGGTAAGGTCTTGGCTGCCGCCCTGGGAATCTCAGCCCACCCTCC